AGTCAAAGTCAACAGTCCATGTTGACTCGACTCGTCGAGTGCAGTTCACCGACTCGTCGAGTCCTTACTGAACTCGAGAAGTCGTGAAATCCTTGATTGGCTCGTCGAGTTCCCTTTTAACTCGCCGAGTTCATACGTGTCCAAGAATTGGGAGAAACCCTAGCCGACTCGCCGAGTTCAAGGCAATCTTCAACGGACTCGCCGAGTTGTTCATCCAACTCGTCGAGTTCATGGCCATCTTCAACGGGCTCGCCGAGTTGTTCCTCCAACTCGCCGAGTCCTTGCAGACCTTCATCCATGCAGACGCTTTTTAAGCCATGGCAAGGTTCCAGACTACATATCCAAGCTTCTAGGGCATGTTTATCACGTAAAGTCGCAAACTTTACGTGCATGCAAGGCTTTAAGACCCTTAAATGGCAAAACTAAGCTTGCAATGAAGTCTCACACTTGAGGGAAGGCTCCTACTAGGCAAGGCTGATGACTTTATGGATCTAGAGGTCAAAGCGAGTCCAGATCTGAAGTTACAACTTCAGATCTTAGCTTAAACATGGGGACCCTTTCACAAAACCCATCCAAAAGAGGTTAGAAGAGAGATGAGTTAAATGAACAGCTTAATACCTTCCAAAGAGTGACAACTGATGAATCTCTTAGCTCCCCACGAGTTCCTAGCCTTGATTTCCTTGCTTCCCCAAGTGTTTCCTTCTCTAAAGTTCCTCCTCCAAGCTTGAACACACCAAAAGAACACACGCACACACACGATTTAGGGTTTGAGAGGGACAAAGGGCAGTACAGGGGAGGCTGGGGGAGGCCAATGATCCTTTAAATAGGGTGCAAAACCCCGAGATTTAGGGTTTCATCTGCCAGCTCCTACTCGTCGAGTCCCTTCTTGGACTCGGCGAGTAGGTCATTAAAATACGTGGACCAACCCGCTGCTACTCGACGAGTAAGGCAATCAACTCGTCGAGTAGCCCTTGAAATCAAGAACTCACACATTAAATCAATACTTGAGAATCGGGGCGTTACACATATGTAGTTGTGGAACTGATGTGTCGGAGGTTCGTGGTGGTGGTGTTGGAAGGTCATCGGAGATTCTAGATCTGAGTGAAAGAAGGTCCAGATCTAATGCATTCGAGATCTACCATACATATCAGATACTCGTTGGAGCATATCTGAAGCAACGACTGTATCTATAGGTCTTACATTGTCACACCCCCGAACCAGACGGCGGAAAACGTCTGGGGGCTTGCACGTGACTTCATCTTGAAATATCATTACAATGAATATAAATGAAACATAACATCATCATCACCATGCATAATATAATACAAATGTCATTGTTTACATCAAGTACAGTACTTTAAATTACATGACCAAAACATTCAACGTACGATGTTTAATAGTACACAAAACAAAATCCCATATTCTTGTTGATTCTTCCGCTTAACGAGTTCCTGAGAATACAAGTTATTTTGAAAACGGTCAACATAACAATGTTTGTGAGTTCATAAGTGTATTTTAATGAAAAGTTTTGTATCATTAGTAAAACACCAGAAAATCCGATATTTTCTGCACAAGAGTTTGAAAATGATATATCAAATCAAGTATTAATGCATGTGTGGTTTCCATTGTAGAAAATATGTAAGAATAAGTTCCCGAAAAATCCTGTTTGTTTCTGTTGTAAGTTGAAGGTAGTGTACAAATGTATATTTTTCCCCATAAAATCCGATATTTCCTGACTATAAAAGTAATGTAGTCTTAAAACCCTAAGACCATGTATTAATGTATGTACGTTTTGTGTCGCCACGATTTGTATTTGTATTTCGTAATATTCTTATGGTATTGATCTCTATGTGAGTTGTTACAACCATGCTTAATAATGACTAATTCGCCTGTCATGGCGTATCAGACGCTGGTTTGTCGAAGGTAAGGTTTGTCACCCTAGACTGACCTAGTCTAGCTGTAGCGAACAGCTCAGGTGTGGGGCGTCACCCCGTATAGATCTATACACAAACTCCCGCTCTCCCTCCAGGAGACTCTGGTTATAACTACAGGCTACGATCATACACCCGAGGATGTCAACCGACAAGTCTCACTAGATCCTTAACATGTTCACAAGTAATGTACTACACCATGTATAATGTTTACGGGTATGTTTTAAGTTTTCAAATCCAAAAGTATGTATATGAGTACATGAAGTTCAAAAAATATGTAGAGGGACAGTTAAGGTCCACTAAGCATGTGAAAGGGTAATTCAGGCCCAATAGGCATGTAAATGGACCACTAATGCCCAATTAACTTGTGATCCATAGCTTAGGCCCAAATTAACATGGAAATTGGACCACAAAGGTCCAATAAACATGTTATGGAAACATTAGGCCCAATATACATTTAAATGGGCCCCTAAGGCCCATTAGCCATGTAACGAGGGTATTAGGCCCAATAAAATGTTATAAAGGTATTTAGTCCATTTATTATTATTTCGTTGTTTGTTTTTGATTAAGGGTTTAATAGAATAATATAAAAAGGTTTAATTTTCGTAATAGTGACATTTTTGGCCCACTATACCGAAAATATACAATTTAGTCACATTTTTGGAAAATTTGACACTTTAGTTCCCCTAAGGCTAAGAGTTTTCATTTTATGGGCTTAATTCTAATAAAATAGCTTTTATGGCCCATTTTGGTAAAAACTTCATTTTTGGCCCAAAATCATAAATATTAACATCTTTGGCCCAAATATATTTAAATTGCTATTTTCGGTCCCTTTATTATATGAATTTACATTTTCAGCCCATTTTGATAAAAATGACAATTTTGGCCCAAATTTTATAAAAATAACATTTTTGGCTCAAATTCGAGGAAAGTGACATTTTCAGCACCTATATCCGTAAATTCACATTTTTTACTCAAATTTGTATAAAATGACATTTTAGTCCACAAAAACCAAACTTTTACACTTTAAGCCCAAGAAAAAACTTAAGGCCCATTTTATGGCCCATTATGCGAAAAATTTCACTTTAAGCCCCTTGGAAACTATGAATATTATAAAAACCCATTTTTATGTAAATGAGACCATTTTAGCCCTTGTAAAACCGTATATGGCATAAAAGTCTCAATATTTTGTTTGTTTGTCAAAAATAGCTCTCTTTCAAGAGTTGTTTAGTTTCTTATGGATCTTCACATGTTTTAGCATATTTATCCTTATAGTAAGTTGCATAAAGTGTTGTAGTTTCCAAATATTGTCTAGATCTATGAATTTCTTTACCCAATCACAACATACACTTAGAAAACACACATAAACATGCACAAATACATAGATCTAACACATAGCAACTTGTATTCTCCCCCCAAAAACAATGTAAAACCAAAATCAAGGGGGTATGAACTCACTTTGGGGGTTTGGATTTGGTTTGATGAAGAGATTGAAGAAGATCTCGACTTTAGCAAGCCTCTTGAAGAGGTTTTCGAACTTGGATGGTTCTAAGAAACATGATCCACAAAAATATGGGTGTAAGAGGAGTGATTTAAGTTTAAAGATGTAGTAAATCAACTTAGGTTTGTGAGATATTACCAAGGATGATGATCTTGATGAAAAATCCTCTTGAAACACACCCAAAATCTCGAAACCTTGGTGGAAGAAGGAGAAGTTTTTGAGAGATTTCTTGAGAGTGTTTGAAGGAAAATATGAGGGTGGTGTGGTGGAGTTTCGGCCGAGAGCAATAAGAAGAGAATGAGGAATTTGATTTTTGGTTATTACATGGGGGTTTAGAGTCCTATAAGTATGAGATTTTTGCATGGTTAACCACTAAACATTAGTGAGGTGTCACCTCTTAAGCACCCTTGTTGATTTCTTTTTTTTTTATAGTTGGGCCGGGAGTTGGGCTAGAAAAAGGGATTTGGGCCCAATCTTGGTTTTGATCAAGTTTTAAGAAGCCTCATAATATTTTTTGGCCCATTGGGCCCTTATTAAGAGTCTCGTCCCAATGAAGCCCAATTAAGGAGTTTACGACCCACTAGAAATAAGAAGGATCATCCTAGGCCCACATGGCCCAATATGCTAAAGTTTTACAAGTGTGGGTCTAATTAGAGCCCAATTAGGGTTTCTAGGCCCAATATAGTCAAGTTGAAGGTTTATTGGTCCATTAGGCCCAATAAGAGAACCCTAGCTCATATTAGACTGGAACCAGGATTTCTAGGGTTTTCAACACCTTATTGACGATAAGAAATGTGTTTGAATGAGCATAGAGTATGGCATTCACTTAGAGTACAAGTTATTACACTGGATGAATGTTTACATGAGAATAGAATTTCCTAACTAAAATGCTAGTTGTGACATACATCGATGTTTGACGGGAAGAAAAAACGATGGTGATTACATTAGATCTCATCAGATCTGACGAGATCTGTGTTTTCTTCGGTTTTGTAAGTAGCCAGAGGTAAGTTGGAGATGATGAAATTTGTAAAACGGTGGCTGGAGGTGGTCGATGGCAGTAGTTCGCCGAAGGTTGGAAGAGGCGGTGGTCTCCGGTAGCAGAAGGTGACAGGATGTATGGGGATTAATGGTTGTGTGTTTTTTAATTTTGGTGGGAGAAGTTAAGGGGGTGTTTGGATATCTTTTTACCTTCAAAAGTCCTTTTTGTAAAAGGACTTTTTGTGAAAGGACTTTTTATAAAAGATGTTTTTAAAAATGTGTTTGGATTAGCTTTTGAGAAGCAAAAGTCAAAAGTTGTTTTTAAAAAGTGTTTGGTTTAACTTTTACATGTAAAATGACTAAAAATGACATGCTTACATATTTACAATTATTTACTAATTTACATATACTATTTTATACTTAACAATTTTTAAACACATATTATAATTTTTGTAAACATTTTATTAGAAAATATAAAATATAAATTTCATTTAAATATTCCTAATTTTTTTATTAGACCATGATAATATTAAAAAACGTTCATACAAATTGTAAATAATTCATAAAAAATATCATAGATAATATTACATTCATCTTCGCAATGTGATTATATCTTGTGCAATAATATCTCGTATCACTGCCATATATAAATCATCATCACTCGTGCGACGTGTACTTGGACCTTCTTCGTAAACTTCACTACTAGTATCACCTTGTATGAGATTGTAGGATTCTTGTTGTGCCCTAAATTTTGGTTTTTTCATCTTTAAAGATGTTTCACAATCAACAATAGTGGTGAGGTTTTTGTCCATTATCTGTGAATTACATATCAACATTTAAACAACAAACCAATTTCATTAACCTTCCTAAATGATTTCATCAATTTAAAGAATTTCTAATCAATCTTTCATACGATTCATGAACTATAGTTTAATTAAAACATAAAAAATAGAACAACAATGGAAGAAAACAACACAAACCAGAATAAAGAAATTGGAATAATTTTCACAAATGGGTACCTGTTAACAACACAAATCGGTCCCTGTGAACAAAAAATTTCATCACTTTAATCAATATCATCCATATTTCATCAATTTTACTAATTATTATTCAATAAATCATCAATTTCACAAATCTATAACTGTTAACACAATATTCATCAATTTACAGTCAACACAGATCCATGCAAGGAACAAATTGAAGGAACAAATCACATACAGTGCAAGGAAAATCGAAATCAAAGGAACAAATCACATACAGTGCAAGGAAAATCGAAAGTTGACATTTTCTTTGCTAACGAAAATCGAAAATCAAGACAAACAAAACCAAAATCGGAGTTTGCACTTACCTGGTCGGAGAGGGAGAAAGGAGACGCCGACAGAGAAGATCGTCGGCTTGGAGGAAGATCGCCGACGGCTTTGGAGGAAGATCGTCGACTGCTTTGGAGATCGATGAACGACAGAGAGAAGAGAAGAACGAGGAGCGGACAACACGAGAACGAGAAGAAAAGAACGTATCTTCAATTGATTAGGTTATTTGGGATAGTTGGGGGTATAAAAGTAATTTAAGTTTGAAGTGGTTCAAAAGTTACAAAAAGTCACGTATACCTGACTTTTCAAAATGCTCATTTTCCTTCTTTCTGAAAAGTTTCTTTTAAAAGATCTTTTCCTTTTCCTAAACATCTTTTAGCTCCTTTTTAACTTTTAAGAAAAGATAAAGGCTCAAATTTGTTTTAAAAGATAAAACAAACACCCTCTAAGAGAGTTGGAGAGGTTCAACGAAAGCAACAGATCTATGTTATAGAATTAGTTTCTTAAAAAGTTCTTTATTGATTGCTTTTCATTTATAAAAAACTTTATAAAATCAAAATATTAAAAAAGACAAAAATAAGTTAAAAATGAGTGGTTATTTTTTTTGGGTTTTCATTTGATCTTTTATATATATATTATATATATATATATATATATATATATATATATATATATTATATATAATTATATCTAATATATATATATATCTATATAATATATATATAGGGTTGAGATCGGTTGAGAACTCACAGTTTCCCGAGAAGCCGAAAACTAAACTAGAGCGTTAGATCAAAACTAATTCATTAAGGGCATGATCGTAATCTTATCGATTTCATTTAATGTTTAATTTTTTGTGTTATTCTACATATTAATAAAAATGTCTAAAAAATTACATAATAAATCAAATTTTCGGATTTTTTTTCAGTTTTTTTTAAAGTGCAGATTTTTTAATTTTTTAAAGAAAACATGAATTTTTGAATTTTTTTTTCAGTTTTTTGCAGATTTTTTAAAAAATAGTATTTTTCAGTTTTTTTTTAAAAAAGTGCAGATTTTTTAGTTTTTTTTTATAGAAAACATGACTTTTTGAAAAAAAAATTGAAAAAAATATTTTTTTTAAAAAAAACTGCATTTTTTAAAAAAAATTTAAAAATCAATAAAAAACTGGAATATTTAAAAAATACTATATTTTTTTAACCAAAAAAATCAACATTTTTGGTACATTTATACATATTTTTACAAATGCATATATGCATATTTCATATACTATAATATTTGTAAGAAAATCATAAGAAAAATCATTTTATTTACTAATCTATAATCACAATATAATAAATATTTTATTCGATACAATATAAAATATAAAAAACAAAAAATGCTACAAAATTTCAAAGCATTTTCATGTCTTCGTGTCAATATTTCCATATTTTCTTCAATTTATCATTTTCCATCTCTTCAATATTCACCACAATTTCTTCCAAATCTACAAGAAAACTAAAAAGAATCTGATTTATGCAAAAACACTCACAAAAATACATATGTGATTTACATGTGAATCACATGTAATTCATATGTGAATCACATGTAATTCATATGTGATTTACATGTGAATCACATGTATTTCATATGTGAATTTCATGTGAATCACTTGTAATTCATATGTGATTTACATGTGAATCATATGTAATTTATATGTGAATTACATGTGAATCACATGTAATTCATATGTGAATCACATGTAATTCATAGGTGATTTACATGTGAATCACATGTAATTCATATGCGAATTTCATGTAAATCACATGTAATTCATATGTGATTTACATGTGAATCACATGTAATTCATATGTGATTTATATGTGATTTACATGTGTGTCACAAGTGATTCATATGTGAATTACATGTGAATCACATGTAATTCATATGTGAATTACATGTGAATCACATGTAATTCATATGTGAATTACATGTGAATCACATGTAATTCATATGTGAATCACAACTGAATCACCAAGTTAGTATGTGAAAAATATGTACATGTATAGATACCAAGTTAGTAAACAACTATGTGAAAAAAATATGTACATGTATAGATACCAAGTTAGTACCTATATACATGCACATTCCAGGTTGTTTATTGGTTCTGGAGATAGTATTGCATTTGGAGCTGGGGTGATTTCTATTTCTGGAGCCTACCATAAAACAATGTTATTTTGAAAAAATATTTTTCAAACAAATAATCAAAAACAAATAAAATAATACTATATACCTGCATGTTGCCTCTGTTGATAAAAGTTCAGATGTTGAAATGTCATTTGTAACAGATTTCTAGGATTAGTATCAAATCAAATAATATTAAATGGTTCTAAAAGAAATTTTAACAAATACAGGACAAAATCAAGGTAAAAGATCCAAATCAAACCTAGATATATACAATAAACCACCTTCAAAATCAAATAAGAACCAATATCACTAGCATATAGACAAAAAAGAATATATCAAACTGTAAAATTGTATTTCAAAACATCAAAATCAGGAATCAAATTGTTAGAGACACATGAAGGAAGAAACTTGTTGGTAAGAGCGAGTATCCCAAGCCCTGACAGTGTCATCAGACGAGCTTATAAGGTCCATCAAAGCCGAGTGAATGCCCACATTTTGTGCACTGTATTCACCTCGATTAGATCGATGAAGGAACAATATATTAGTTCAAATCTAGACAAAATCGTGGATATGCAGAGGTTGTACATTATGATATGGAAATTGTACCATTCAACTCTTTTTGGATCAATGAAGGATGAAATGCAATGAGGGGTGACCTGAAGCAAGAGTAAAGAAAATTACATCACAATTATGGATACAATGATAATCAGAAAGTCCAAAGAAACTCACTGATGTGGAGTTGATAAAGTGAGAACAATTTTAACTGATGACTTTATCAAATTAGGGTACACAACTGTAGCTCTAGCAACAAAATCACCCATAGAGTGGCCAACTAATATGACATTATTAGACAAACTACCAAATTCAAAAGCACCTTCTTTTTCCAACTTTCTTTTCAAGTCCATTTGATGGACATTGTGTTGTAATTTGTAAATTCACATGAAGAGTTTATTGAACAGGGACAAAATTGTCCGAAGATAGCAAGAAATATGGTGTTGAGAACACATGCACTAGTGGTAGCACACTATCCAGAGCTGCAAAAAGCATTTCAAGAGCTCGTGCTTTAATGGATAAGGAAAGAGGAAACCTACTTAAATCATTTGGGACTCAAGTTCTAATACAAACCATTATTATACAAATGTAACTGTGTAGATATTTCAAACTAGTGTTATAAAAATAGAAAGAGTTAAAGTACAAAGCTAAAAATAGAAAGTTTTTTCAAATCTTGAACAGGTGGTAGAGCCAGTAAGAGCAATGGTAATGGGATCTCCACTAGAAGATGCTCTTCGTCTTGCTCAAAGATATGATAGAATGAGACAAGAGGCTGAAGTACAGGTGTTCCATTTTTTTTTTAATAAATGATTTTTTTTCCTTAATGGATAAAAAAAAGTAAATTATTTAATGACATTATCTTAATTTGTAGGCTGTTGAAGTTTCTAAAAGACAAGCAAGAGTAAAAGAAGGAACATGGAATCCAGACATCCTTATGAAACTTGATCTGAAATCCAACATGGCAATTTTGGGAAGAGAAGTTGCATCAGTAATGGCTGCTGTTGCAGGTCAACAGCAAAAAATTACACTTCAGAGATTAATTTCCATGGTATTATTATTACTATTAACTATTAACTAGTAATAACACTATAATTCTCAAATTCGCAACTAATATGACACTGAATAAAAACAAGATTAACCACAAAAATTGAGATGGAATAATATTAGTTACCTCTGACCGATGAATGTTTCAAGAATAACTGAATCCTTGAATGCTAAATCGCACCTTCATATTGTTGATAATTGCCATAATGAAGCCTGGATTGTTCAATGTTTTTAGATTTTACATCAATCAAAGCATGTTTTTGCATCATAACTCTAAGACAAAACAAAAATTTCAATTCAAACAAGAAAATAATCAGAATAGGTAATTCTGAAGTGTAAAATCGCATATATACTAATGGAGGAATTAAAATAAAATGAAAAATTAGAACCTGTGTTGTGCGAATATCCGTACATTGGAACGAATTCCATTGTCAACCACTAGAGTTTATTTTGTTAATCTCCTCTTCCAGATCTGATCGGAAACAAGGTCAATCAATGGAGACGGAACGGAGGCGAAGGCGATCAACTGATGGGGTGATGATTGTCGTTTCAGTGATCCGCGGATGCCTAGCTCGGAGATGCACAACACACATTTTGTTGATCCAATTTGGATCTGGAAAGGCACCTTTACTACCTTCTTGATTTCATTAATGGTGGATCATGTAACCTGATGATTTTAGGGTTACGATTTTGTGTATGAACAGAACTAAGATCAATGTGGTGGAGACGATGGTGATTTTAAGGGAAGATCGACAGACTCGATGATTGAAACCGATGGTGATTGAGGTTGATCTAGGGCAGATGGGTGAATCGGTGAAGAAGACGACGTGAGTGTGTGTGTGTGTATGTGTGTGTGTGTGTGAGAGAGAGATAGAGAGAGATGCAAATGAGATATTTAATCTGGGGAATTAAAAGAGATATTTGATTCCCTAAAATGCCCCTGATTCATTTTAAAAACATACCCCCTCTGTCTTATTTTGTCTATGTATTTACAAAAATGCCACAATGCATCTTGGACATCCTTTTTTTTGATCCAACGCTCCACTTTTAGTTCTCAAGTTCTTGGAAAACTATGAGTTCTCAAATGATCATTCCTATATATATATATA